ATGCCCGGAGTGAAAATGACATAACGCACTGCACTCAAAGTCCGCACACCGCCGCGCCGCTTCGTGTGCAGTGTTTCACAGCCTTTTAGTAATCGGCTTTGTTTTCACCTGTACTTGTGGAGGCTTTTGAAGTATTCATTGCATCCAGTGACACATTCTTACCATGAGGTGCCCATGGTACATTTGCAAGAAATGACAATCTACAGCTCTTCCTTTAACCTCTTGCCGTCCGCCCGTAGTAGAAAAACGGACGGACGGCCCTGCTGCATCTGCGGGATTGCAGTTAAAAAAACGCGACAACCGCGCATATGCAATACGCCTAGGTGTGAACCAGGCCTTACAGAAATATTAACTCTGCTACTTCCTATCTGTTCATTGCTCAGCTCTTTACATGGTATCAGTCTGGGCAAAAGCAATATTTACTATAGGAAGTTAAGAGCTCACTGGATTTCTGGAAGATAACACGGGGAAATGAGCCTGTATTGCAGAGATGTATTTTTTCCATAAAATACACTTTAAGGAAGTATTTCCAAGTAGTGGGAAAACAAGTGACTTTATATTTTTCTTCTTTTAGGCCACAAACTGTGGGATTGTGGAAAGCATCTTGAACTGGGTGAAGTTTAAGGCACAGACGCAGCTGAATAAGAAATGCTCTGCAGTGAAGCACACAAAGATTAAAGGCATTCCTAAACTTGATGATGCTAATGATGCCGGTACGTGTCACTGAACACCTGGGGAGAAATTCTGCATTGTTCCTTTTATACTATGGGGTTTTATATTCTTTCTTCTAACTGGATGTGTTGTAAACTGAGAATGTGTTGGTTCTGTATTAGATGTGAGGCATTTGTCATTTTGGCTGCAATTCGCGCACTTTGAGACTAAAGCTGCCCATACACTGCTCTCTTTTTTTTACCCGTGGGCTGAACAAAAAAAAAATGATTCCCCCCATCAACACTATGCACGTGTCGATCGTGGAATCCCTGCTGTTTTCATTTGTATATTGACAGCTGTCAGAATACCTGAACAGACCGCAAACTTATTGGCTGCCGGGCCTGTTTGTACAAAGATTCTCCAACCGGCTCCTTCGATCAGCTGACCGATGGATGCTGGACTAAAGGGTGCCGACAGCAGTACCCACTATGCAAATTTTCACAGTATATGGCCACCTTAACACCAATGTACAATGCAATAGAGCTTTGCTTGCTTTGTGCTGAGTTTTGGTGTACAGGAGCTTATGGGGCGTTCATGTGAAGGATTTATACAGAGCAGGATTTAAAAGAACTATGGGGTAACCTTTTTATCCCATAGTTCTTTTAAGGGTCACAGGAGGATTCTAACTTCCTTTCCGTGACCCAAAGCTTAGTGTATATAGCGAGCTATTGCGAGCTATATACAGAGTTCACAGCTAAGACGGATCCCGACAAGTCTTTCGAGATGCACCCTGCGGGCTGATTGACAGCTGGCTCTGCCTATCTAGAAGGGGGGGTTATGCGTTCGTTCATTTCCCGATCTATAGAGCCGACCTGTGACAATTTAATTGTCACAGGTCGGCTCTAACTATGACGATGAGTGAAAATCATTCACCTCAAAGTTTTCCTTTTGGAAATACTTCTTTTTTTTTTTGCATGGAAATTGTCTGTTTTATATGTTAAAGTCTTGGTGTGTGAACTTAGTTTCACGAATTGCAAACCTTTTCCAAAAACTGGTTTTGGTTGATTGTGGAGTTAAAGAGCAGAGTGTCTAAGCACATGTGGTTTTCCTTTCCTTTTACAGGTAGCAAACTTTCCAATCAATGCACACTCATCCTAACTGAAGGAGACTCAGCCAAGACATTGGCTGTGTCTGGCTTAGGTGTGGTCGGAAGGGATCGGTTTGGTGTTTTCCCGCTGAGGGGCAAACTGCTGAATGTTCGGGAAGCTTCACACAAGCAGGTAAGCGGTCTTTCCTCTCAACCAAATGAAACTGCTCCCTATTCCTCTACTAAGGGGACTTCAGACATTATCAGTGTGCTTTGACCATATGTGGTTACTTTAACAGAGTCCTTTAACACATTGTGATGGTTCTGAATGTGAGCATTTGCTTATCAGGTGTATGGGTGTTTTCTATTCTACTTCCAGTCCGAATAGTAGTACAAATGCCATGTAGATGGGTACCCTGGTGGGGATTAGTACTCAAAATATATAAATATTGACTTCAGAAACCCTTATTTTTTTTATTTTTGTAGTTGTAATATGTTCAGGCACCATACCTGCACAACATATTCTATGTAACCGCACACGCGATTGTATCAGTTCACACAAAAATGAAGTTGGTTGTCATCTGACATTGTACATCTGACGATGGCACAGTTGAGAATATAAAACAGGACTCTATATTGCTAAATCCTTTGCATTGCATGCTTTAAATGTTTCATATTTATAAAAAAAAAAAAAACCCTGTTTATCTGCTGCTGACTTTGATTGGTCCACAAATTTCAGATTATGGAGAATGCCGAAATAAACAACATTATTAAGATTGTGGGTCTGCAGTACAAGAAAAACTATGAAGATGAAGAATCTCTGAAAAGTCTTCGTTATGGAAAGTTAATGATTATGACAGATCAGGTGAGGGAGAGGAGGGCTACAGCTTCTCAAGCTGACTATCTGTTGTATCAGATTTACTTAAGTTTGTTTTTTATTTAGGATCAAGACGGCTCCCATATTAAAGGCTTGCTTATTAACTTCATTCATCACAACTGGCCATCTCTGCTCAAGCACAGCTTCCTGGAAGAGTTCATTACCCCCATTATTAAGGTGCGGAACCTCTTGCTTAATGGCAATAATTCTAGAGGTGTGTACATGTGTAGAACACAAACTTATATCTCCCAATTTCTGCTACCCGCACAGGTTTCCAAAAATAAGCAGGAACTCTCCTTCTACAGTATCCCAGAGTTTGACGAATGGAAGAACCAGAATGATGGTCACAAGAGCTGGAAAATAAAGTACTACAAAGGTTTGTTCTAAACCCTGTGTGGTAGTGCTCGGCAGGCAAGTAAGAACCAACTTCCATGCTTGTGGTGGTGGGGCATCACAGTGGTGTAAACTCGCCTCGTTTACATTGCACCCTTGTTATAGATGTCCACTGGGGCGCACTAGTTTTGTACGGCACTGTAAGCTTTGCACATGGTGTACCTGGTTTTGTTGCACTGAATGTCAGTATTACATGGTGCCCAACCGTGCTTGGCATGTGTTACCTTCTGCCTGGACCTTTTTGGTAGCAGAGGGTTTACACATTTTCTATTAGAACACATGCTAAAAAAAAAAAGCCTGTAAATAATTACAGAATTGTAGTGTATACATTTTTATCCAAAAGGATTTTAGTTTTAGGTTAACATGCAGTTTATTTTTTATTGCCCAAAGGCACTCCTAGTACTGAGATCTCCTCCAAACTTTCCAGCTCTAGAGGTTCCAATATAAGAAGCTAGCTTAAGGCCTCATTCACATGAGAAAAAGCCAGCACGTACAGCTCCGGGCTGTGTGCACGGCCGTATCGGGCAGTTCCCGGGAAGGACAGGTGCGGCACGTCGGTGCAGGTGTCCATACTCGTATGCTGACTGGATGGATCCTGTCTGCATCCGAGCCGGGACACCCGCACCCCTACGGTCCTGCACTTGAGGTTAGCGTAGGACGGCATACGGCCGCATACTCCCATAGAGAAGGACGGGCTACGTACTAATCACACACAGCACCTGTCCTTCCCGCGATATGGCCGTGCACAGAGCTGTACGTGCCGGCTTTTTCTTTTGGGAAAGAAGCCTTAGTGTCATCTGTTAAGATGGGATATAATCTAGTGCATAAAACGTTTATATCTGCTCAGGGATCCATGCAAATTGTGCAGTTGCTACTGCTAATCATACTTGGTTGCCAAGTGTGAAAGCCGCCGAAACAAAAGGGTATCGAGTCACACGGAAGAGAAATGGGATAATGACCAATAACTGGGGAAGTTGCAACCCTCCCCTTGTGCCTTAATTCTACAATTTGCTGCTGCGTTGACATTTTGGTTAAATGCAATTTGCTTATCTTGCGTGATTCTTCTTTAGGTCTGGGGACCAGCACGGCTAAAGAGGCAAAGGAATATTTTGCGGATATGGAGAGGCATCGAATTACGTTTAAATACGGTGGCCCAATAGACGATGCTGCGATCACCCTGGTAAGAGGATGTTTCTGCAGGGTGAAGTAAACCTACACAATATTGTGGTCTATATACTTGTCTCTTTACGCTGCCATAAATTACAAATAACATGGAGGCATTTTTTTTTTTTTAGGCCTTTAGCAAGAAGAAGGTGGACGACCGCAAGGAATGGCTGACAAACTTCATGGAAAACCGAAGGCAGAGGAAACTGCATGGTTTGCCAGAGGTGAGATTTACAAATGCCTCTTAAAGTAAACGTTTGCCTATCTCCAAAAATTTACATTTGTAGTTTAGACCTGACATGAGGATCCCTGGTGGAGGGGAAATAGAACAGAAATCAGTTCAGTTTTAGTATAAGGGGGTTTATTTGGACAACAGAAGGTTTAATGTGTCTAAAATGGAAAGTTGAATTTTGTGGCATACAGGAGGTTACTTTAATTTCTCCTTTTGCGAGGTTGAACTTTGTTTGATCCTGCTGTAAGGCCTTCATAGTTCTCCGTGATAGCTTGTAGGCCTTCATAGTTTTGCTCAATGATGGCTTGTAGGCCTTCATAGTTTTGCTGACTGATAGCTTGGAGATATCCATCATGGTCCTTAAGCAGGCTGAGAAAACTGTATTGGAGGCCTAAACAAAATCTCAGGGGAGAACACATTAGACTGCAGAAGTTGCACCATTTTTAGCCTTTGAACTCTCCTATTAAAGGAGAACTATGAGGTGAGTGATTTCCACTCATCCTCATAGTATAGTGATCGGAAAGTTGGAAGAAGATTGGGAAGCTAGGCAGAGCCAGCTGTCACTCACGCAGCTGGGTGAATCTCGGCCATGTTGTTGGGGTCCGTCCCGGCTGTGGCGCTCTCGGTATATTGCGGGCAGTAGCCCGCGATATACTGAGGTTTGGGTCACGGGGTGATGTTAGTATATGTCCTCCCGTTACCTTTTAAAGAGAACTATTGGGAAAAACACTTACCCCTTCTCTTTTAAATATGAGAAACTTAGTTCAGCAGGTAACACCAGAAGTTCTGCTTAAAAGCTAACCTCGGAGTGTTGTAACAGTCATAGGTTCAACAAGGTTAAAAGGTCCAGTGAAAAATTCAGTCTAGCCCCTCACCATTCAAAATATTTTTTTAATATTGTGGTATGTTCTAAACCAGGCTAGTAGGGTCTGAGTGTTAGATTCCTGGATGTGTTTCTCTATAGTTGTGTTTAAATGCTTTTTAAAAACAAGACCACCTATTTACCAGTTCAATTATTTTGTGCCTTACCATTTTCAGGAGTTCTTGTATGGGAAATCCACAAAGTACTTGACCTACAACGACTTCATTAACAAAGAACTCATTCTATTCTCCAACTCTGACAACGAACGCTCCATCCCATCTTTGGTTGATGGTATGTATATGTGTTGTGTCTATAGCTATTGTCATATGTTTCTGAAATGCATATTAAAACTATCATTTGGCACTAGGTCTGAAGCCCGGACAGAGAAAAGTGCTGTTCACTTGTTTCAAAAGAAATGATAAGAGAGAGGTGAAGGTTGCCCAACTGGCTGGTTCTGTGGCTGAGATGTCAGCATATCATCACGGTGAGGTAAGTAGAATCCATAGGTATTAAGCCTTGTTACATTGCTTATGTGACCGTGCCTGATATGATTTGCTCACTGGGTTGGGTTGCAGGGCATTGTCTGCTTGTCGGCACTGGCCTTGCTTTTTCTCTCCTGCTTGTTCAATCTCTTGCGGAGAGACTAACACTTAGAATGTGTACACATACCCTGTAACAGTTGCTATTTCAGGTTAATATCCTGAACACGTGTCGCTGCTTACATTTTATTACTGTGATGCTGGTATTTGGTGTGTGGCTAACCACCATTTTTCTATTGTTAATCCTCTAGGCCTCACTGATGATGACCATTATCAACTTGGCACAGAACTTTGTGGGTAGCAACAACATCAACCTCTTACAGCCGATTGGTCAGTTTGGTACCAGACTGCATGGTGGCAAAGATGCTGCCAGCCCTCGATACATCTTCACCATGCTTAGGTAAGTTTGCTGGAAAAAAAGAAATAGGCAGCATGTAGTTTTATCACATGATGCATGTACACTAGCTGTCATATGACTTATGCTGCCTCATTTTGTTTCCAGCACACTGGCTCGCCTCCTTTTCCCTTCAATGGATGACAGTGTCCTGAAATTCATCTATGATGACAACCAGAAGGTTGAACCAGAGTGGTACATTCCAATCATTCCTACCGTACTGGTGAATGGCGCAGAGGGTATTGGTACTGGCTGGTCCTGTAAAATCCCAAATTATGATGTCCGGGAAATAGTAGGCAACATTCACAGGATGCTAGATGGAGAAGAACCCCAGCTAATGGTAAGGCTTGTCGTTTGACATTAGTGCTTTGACAGTTCAGCAGTGATAATGTTAAGTGATATGTAATTGTATGTACATTTGCCATGTTTTTCTATATTTAAGGAAGTGAGGGTATCCTTACCGTCGCTCTCCATTTATAATTTGTTTGGATAGTAGGAATTCCCCATATTTCCTAGCTTGATAAGGTTCTTTGTGTTTTCTCATCTGCTGTGAAATGTGTACATGTGAAAATGAGGTTTTCCTTTCTTGAACAGCTCCCAAGCTACAAGAACTTTAAGGGAATGATTCAGGAGCTTGGTGTTAACCAGTTTATCATTAATGGTGAGATCTCCGTTCTTGACACAACCACTCTTGAAATCTCTGAGCTGCCTGTTAGGACATGGACACAGGTGAGTTCCCACAGCACAATTAATTTTTTTTTTTGTTCCAGTTGTGTTCTGTTTTGGTTTTTATAATTTTCAACCTTTCATGCAGAACTACAAGGAACAGGTGCTGGAGCCAATGCTAAATGGGACAGAAAAGACTCCCGCTCTAATTACAGACTACAAAGAATATCACACGGACACCACAGTAAAGTTCATCATTAAGTTGACTGAGGACAAGCTGGCTGAGGCCGAGGCAGCTGGTCTGCACAAAGTCTTTAAGCTTCAGGCTCCTCTTACATGCAACTCTATGGTAGGTTTGTCACTCATGATCGTTTCTGTTTATGCTTTACTTTTAAGCACTGACCTCAAAGTGCAGTTGTGTTTTTGTGTGTGCTAAAAAGGCCGAGTTTGCTAAAGCTCATCCTGAGTTCAGTTGGTCGTGTTAAATATTTTCCTTCCTTCCTGTTAGTGTAATCTTGTCTGTCAACTCTAGTGTGTGTGTGTTCCCCAAGGGAGAGGATTCTGCAATAATGAAAATTAGAAGAAAAGCGCAACCACCTAGCGCAATAAATATAGTAACAAAAATTAGAGGTGTCTAAACAGACCCCTGATATTTCCCTTTTTAAAGTAGAAAAAGAGATTGAGGACACTGTCCTCATCTCTTTTTCTGCAGCCCCTGCTATAAATGAACAGGATGCCTCTATAGTCTTTCTGTTCATAACTTGTGGACATAGTATGTTTATCATATCCACAATCGTGAAGGGACAGGAGGTGATGTAGAGCACTTCCTCTTCATTCATAATTGGGGATATAGCAAACATACTGTGTACTCCAATTATTTACAAACACTTAGCGATAACTGAGTGCTTGTACCCGCTCTCCATCCAGATTCGCTGTCACTGCAGGCTAACCGAGCGGTGCGGGGAGGAGAGCTCAATCTGACAGCTAACTCCTCCACCGCAGCTGGCCTCCTGTGACAGCTGTCTCCGCCCCCACACCGCCGCTCTCCTGATCTGTCGCAGGAGGTGGTGCAGGGAGGAGAGACGCCGGCCGTTCACAGCCCTCTCCCCTGCACCGCTCGGCCTCCTGTGATAGTTTCTTTCCTCCCCGTTGGGTGTTGCTCTGTGCCCCAGAGGGGAGGAGAGAAAGCAGGGATGCACCACTATTTCGGCATTTTGCCAAAAGTGCCATTTTTGCCCGATATGTTTCGGTGGCCGAAATTTCGGCGCATTCCTAGTAATAATGTTGCGCACACACTGTTTTCCCTATTTGTTACCAAATTTATTGTGCTAGGTGTTTGCGCTTTTCCTTTGTAATCTTGTCGTTGCAGCCCTGCTTAGCACCTCACAGCCTTTTCTTGTTAAACGTCCTCGCTGCCTTTTCTTACCAGAAAAAGCCAACCTGAACAATCCTTTTAGATTTAGCTCCAGTCAGGCCATTGCGTTGCATAGTTGGTAAATCTGAATGCGATTTTGTGACAAACTTTTTAGATGTCTTTCATTGTCCCAATTGCATCTTCTATTAGTCTAAGGAGAGGACAGCACACCTTTTTACTGTTTCAGAAACTAAATTTGGTTTTCATTCAAAGGTTACTTTGACTAATCGCTCTACGTGTTTTACAACTTAGATTTTCTACATCAGTCTGAACTATTTTGGATTTTTAGGTGCTGTTTGATCACACGGGATGCCTGAGAAAATATGAGACTGTGATGGACATTCTGCGAGAGTTCTTTACTCTGCGTCTTCGCTACTATGGACTTAGGAAGGATTGGTTGTTGGGCATGCTAACGGCGGAATCCTCCAGGCTTAGTAACCAGGCCCGGTTTATTCTGGAGAAGATTGAGGGAAAACTAGTAATTGGTAAGAGAAGGGCATCACAAGTTGTGCTGACTCTTGATGGGTCAGGGTCTGTTTCCTAATGCTTTTCCAATTGTCTTAACCAGAAAACAAACCTAAGAAAGAGCTCATCCAGATGCTAGTCCAGAGGGGATATGACTCTGACCCAGTAAAAGCCTGGAAGCAAACGCAGGAAAAGGTAATAAACTCCTATCAAAAGTCTGCCAAAACTTGATACTAATTTCTGGAGGTCTCAAGCATCAGTACTTGAGTTACTGATCTGAAACTGGTATACTGCATGTCAAGTCAGCACATCCAGAACTCCTGATCTGTATTCTTGTTTGTTAGTGATGTATTAAACCTTTCACCAGCATGAAATGCATGCCCCTTACATTGTTTAGAGGGTCAGATATGCAATGGTAGCATACTGGAAGGCATGTTCTCGGTAGAAGTCTAAAAAAAAAACCCCACATGTATAGAATACACAAGTTCCCCAGACATCAGCCATGGTCTGTTCATTGGCGGATCTTAGGCCAGTTTTATTACTATATAGCGGGTGCATGGTTTTTGAATTGAACGTGTGTATACAGTTAAACAAAGTCAGAGGATGGTTAATGTCCTGTTTTTGAATAGTTTTTTTTTGGCGGGGGGGTTTGCCCTCTTACCCATTTGGGAAACCTCTTGTCATGTAGAAACAGAGATTAAAGGAGAACTATGGGGTCAGGGCTTTTCCCCATAGTTCTTCTAACGGTAACGGGAGAACAGAAACTAGCGTTCTCCCTTGACCCAAAGCTCTGTATACCACGAGCTACAGCTCGCGGTATACTGAGACGCTGCAGCCGGAACGGATCCCGACATGCTCTCTGGATCCACCCAGCTGTGGGATTGACAGCTGGCTGTGTATCCAGAGGCAGAGCCAGCTGTGCCCTCCCCCGTCCGTTACGCCAATCAGCGCTGGGGGGGATCCCTGCAGGGAACCGTGAGTGACAGTTGCGGCTCTCTGGAGGGATAGATCGAGAAGTAAGCGAGCGACAGTATGTTTTTGATCACTTCCCGATCTACTCAGCCGACCTGTGACAGTTTCATTGTCACAGGTCGGCTCAGATTATGAGTCTTGAGTGAAAATCACTCTCCTCATAATTCATTTTTAAAAGGAAGTCTCCAAAGTGAGAGAAATCCCCTCAAAAGCTGGCCATACACCTATAGATTTTTGGATAGGAATTTTCGTTGCTGCCAAGAACCATTTTTGTAAAATTCTAGCTCAAATAGCCCATCGTGCACAGACAAATGTGGATTTCACTAATCGTTCGTTAGCCGTACCAACTCACCGAATTTCGTTGATCACAGAACACATTTTCGTTTGCACATGTGCAGTGTTCTTGTTGCGATTTTTCTTTTATTAACGAATCCAACGATTTTCGTTCAATACGAATAAAGGTTTTTTTTACACCCTCAGCCTTCAAAAAACTTGGCCAGAAGTAAAAAAAATTCGTTCAGTTTCCCTCAACTGATCGATTATTGTTCGAAAGACACAATGAGCAAGAGAAAAGTGGGATTTTTTTTAGACACCAAGAATGACAAATCAAAATGTAAAAATGAATTCAAAAGATTAATTTTTATTTATTAATTGATAAAGTTAATAGAGAAGATCGCCATGATTAAAAACTGTAGTAGAAGCCTCCCAATCCACTCAGTTCCAGAATGAGAATATTAAGTAGACATGATTAAATAGATTAAACATGGAATTAAATAAATACATAAATGCATAACATGATTATCATCGATAAGTATTACCTTGAACCACGAGAGGATGGTATATTGACACACTTCGCGCAGTTATCGCGCTTCAACAGGAGGGAGGCAATTAACTCAGGTAGAGCCGGTGTGTGCACGCCTGTGGTGATGACCATAAAGTTTAAAAGAGGCAACAAATTAATGTCCCCAAACAGTGGAAACAAGGCATCAGGCCTGCAAAAATTGGGTATGGGTGGTCAATTGGATCTCTTGTGAAGAGGACAGATACTTCAAGATCACCGATCCATATCAGATATTGGGGTTCCACTGATGACTCAAAGGTGTCAATGGTGCCCTGAGCCTTGACCTACATAGAAGCCGCAGGTGTGTGACCGGCCGTCCCTTGCCACACACTGTGAAAGACCATTTGTGGATTATTTCTGAACGATAATCGATAGGTCTATTTGCACCTTTAAACAGTGATCACCAGAACAGATTTTATTAAAATTTTGCATATTTTAATAAGAGTTTGACGTTAAAAATAAAAATCGGTGTACCCTAATTGATAGCATTCAAGACAGGTAATATGCAGATTATTAAACGTAGAACTTATCACGTGTATTGCATCAAATGCAACACTTAAGAGTTTCCACGATGGTAACTGTCGTCTAGATTAGCTTTAACTAAAGCTACTTTGTGTACAGAGCACACAAAGAAGCTATGTATAGTCTGATACTGTGAGCTGTTTGCTTTGGGGATGAGATTGCATGTTCCTGCAATATGTACTCTGTTCACATCTTTTTATGATTTTTCTTTTTATCCAGGAGGAAGCTGGAGAGATGATTGAAGAGGAAGAAAGTGAAGCTCCGACTACTGGTCCAGATTTCAATTATCTCCTTAACATGCCCATGTGGTACTTGACCAAAGAGAAGAAGGATGAGCTGTGCAAGCAGAGAGATGCTAAGGTCTGCATACGCTGAAAGCATGCTTGTGTACTTGTTGCAGAGATTTATAAAACTTTAACTTATAATTAAATGTTTGTTTTCCCTACCCAATATTGCTCACAACTCGTCTCTTTTGGACGATATCCCTGTTTCAAAACTTAATTTGTAAAAGTGTATAAAGATGTTTATTTAAATGGACCTTGCAGTCAGGCCTGGATTCCCCACAAGGCCACTGAGGCCAGCCCTCAGGGTGATCGCGGCGATGTCGCGTGTAAAATGTGTGCAGCTTGTCCGTGTAAATAAAAAACACAATGGTCAGAAGTGCAGTCCTCACTCACTTAATGGTAAGTTGATATTTACTGCACTTCTGACCATTGTGTTTTTTATTTACTCTGATCGCCCCTGCCCTACCTCCGGATTCTTTCCAGCCTCCACACACCCCACTTCCTTAAGCCTCCATCAACCAACCCAGGTGGTCCACACCCCACGTGGACCCACTAATTCCTCATAAGTCACATTTTGGTGCTAGCGCTTCCTTCCTAATTTTTTTCTGTTCTGACTGACAAATGTCTGACACCCCGGTCCGCACACAAAAGAAGCAGCACACCTAGCAGTAACATCCATAAGTCCCCACTCTCGTTTAGCGCTGTATCAGGGGACTACTCTCCTAACTTTTCACTGAGTTTAGGTCCTTCCATCTCACCTTTAATAAAAAAAAGTCTCTTCCCGCTACACTTTTTTGATCTGCACAACTTCTTTTACTTTTTTTCTCGGCTGGGATTGTACTGCATGTTTTTTTACTCCTCGTGTTTTGTATGACCATACTATTCAGATTCCATTGACAGAAATACTCCACATGAAATAACAAAAATATATTATTATTTCAGATCAAGGAGTTGGAAGATCTTAAAAAGAAGTCTCCATCCGACTTGTGGAAGAATGATCTTGCGGTCTTTATTGAAGAGCTCGACGTAAGTTAAGAAGTTGTACTTAAAGCAGAGTTTAGTATTTGCAGAAAGCGGTTTGCAAAGCCTGTCTTTGTCCCTATTCATACCTAGGCGTCAGCGTTTCACGTTTTTTCCTTTGCGTGTTTTTTTAAGTGCTTTTTGCGCGTTTTCCACTAAACAGATACGTGTTTTGGACGTGTTACTGCATATGGGTGTATTGAGTGTTGTCCAATGAAAAGAAGCCCTGCCCATGACATAAACTCCTGCACATTAGCCAAGGGGTTAAAGGAGAATCATGAGGCGAGTGATTTTCACTCAGCCTCATAATCTGAGCCGACCTGTGACAATGAAACTGTCACAGGTCGGCTCAGATCGGCAAGTGAGCGAACACATACCGTTGTTGCTCACTCACTTCTCGATCTATCCCTGCAGGGATTT